CCCCCCCCCCTATCAGCTAAAAATGTTATTTTAAGTCTTTAATAAACAAAACCTTAAACGTGTGCTTACCTATCTGACAAATGAGCTGCAATTTCATTCAGAAGTCGGATGTAATGTAAATAGGTGTATTAATGTATTATTCAATGTAAGTAGTGTGGTTACTGTACATGTTTATTTGAATGCTTCTAATTTGATAGCGTTCTATGTTCCGGGTTTCCTGGCCTGTGATGATTTCATATGTATGACACACTAATGGACGATTTCACTTTCCATCTGCAAATCAACCTAAGTGAGCAGAATTCCAAACATGCATGTTTACGTTACACCAGTCAAATAATTCGACATTAGTTTAGATAACATACAGCAACTGTAGCAAGTTAATTTCAATTAATCTATGATTTTATCAAATGAACAGAAACACACAATATAGACCTCCTTAGGTAATTAATGCTGATGTTTATATATTTAATGTATCTGTTTGCTTATGTATCTGTTTGCTTATGTATCTGTATGTGTATGTATCTGTTTGTGTATGTATGTGTATGTGTATGTATTTGTTTGTGTATGTATTTGTATGTGTATGTGTATGTATGTGTATGTATCTGTTTGTGTATGTATCTGTACGTGTGTGTGTGTGTGCATGTGTATGTATCTGTATGTGTATGTATTTGTAAGTGTATGAATTTGTATGTGTATGTATATGTATCTGTTTGTGTATGTATCAGTGTGTGTGTATGTTTGTGTATGTGTAGGTATCTGTTTGTGTATGAATCTCTGTGTGTGTATGTATGTGTATGTGTATGTGTATGTGTATGTATCTGTATGTGTATGTATTTGTAAGTGTATGAATTTGTATGTTTATGTATATGTATCTGTTTGTGTATGTATCAGTTTGTGTGTATGTTTGTGTATGTGTAAGTATCTGTTTGTGTATGAACCTCTGTGTGTGTATGTTTGTGTATGTGTAGGTATCTGTTTGTGTATGAATCTCTGTGTGTGTATGTATGTGTATGTGTATGTGTATGTGTATGTATCTGTATGTGTATCTGTATGTGTATGTATCTGTTTGTGTATTTATATGTTTGTGTATGTATCTGTTTGTGTATGCATGTGTTTGTGTATGTATGTGTATGTGTATGTATCTGTTTGTGTATGTATCTGTATGTGTATGTATCTGTATGTGTATGTATCTGTTTGTGTATGTATCTGTTTGTGTATGTATCTGTTTGTGTTTGTATCTGTATGTGTATGTATGTGTATGTGTATTTATATGTTTGTGTATGTATCTGTTTGTGTATGCATGTGTATGTGTATGTATCTGTATGTGTATGTATCTGTTTGTGTTTGTATCTGTTTGTGTGTGTATCTGTTTGTGTTTGTATCTGTATGTGTATGTATCTGTTCGTGTATTTATATGTTTGTGTATGTATCTGTTTGGATTTGCATTTGTATGTGTATGTATCTGTTTGTGTATTTATATGTTTCTGTATGTATCTGTTTGCGTTTGCATTTGTATGTGTATGTATCTGTATGTGTATGTATCTGTTTGTGTTTGTATCTGTATCTGTATGTATCTGTTTGTGTATTTATATGTTTGTGTGTGTATCTGTTTGCGTTTGCATTTGTATGTGTATGTATCTGTATGTGTATGTATCTGTTTGTGTTTGTATCTGTTTGTGTATGTATCTGTTTGTGTTTGTATCTGTTTGTGTATTTATATGTTTGTGTATGTATCTGTTTGCATTTGCATTTGTATGTGTATGTATCTGTTTGTGTATTTATATGTTGGTGTATGTATCTGTTTGCGTTTGCATTTGTATGTGTATGTATCTGTATGTGTATGTATCTGTTTGTGTTTGTATCTGTTTGTGTATTTATATGTTTGTGTATGTATCTGTATGTGTTTGCATGTGTGTGTGTATGTATGTGTATGTGGATGTATCTGTTTGTGTATGTATCTGTATGTATCTGTTTGTGTATGCATGTTTATTTATCTGTTTTTGTATGTATCTGTATGTGTATGTATCTGTTTGTGTATGTATCTGTTTGTGTTTGCATGTGTATGTGTATGTATGTGTATGTATGTGTATGTATCTGTATCTGTATGTATATGTATGTGTATGTATCTGTATGTGTATGTATCTGTTTGTGTATGTATCTGTTTGTGTATGTATCTGTTTGTGTATGTATCTGTTTGTGTTTGTATCTGTATGTGTATGTATCTGTTTGTGTATTTATATGTTTGTGTATGTATCTGTTTGTGTATGCATGTGTATGTGTATGTATCTGTTTGTGTATGTATCTGTTTGTGTATGTATCTGTTTGCGTTTGCATTTGTATGTGTATGTATCTGTATGTGTATGTATCTGTTTGTGTATGTATATGTTTGTGTATGTATCTGTATGTGTATGTATCTGTTTGTGTATGTATCTGTTTGTGTATGTATATGTTTGTGTTTGCATGTGTATGTGTATGTATCTGTTTGTGTATTATCTGTTTGTGTGTTTGCATGTGTATGTGTAAGTATCTGTTTGTGTATGTATCTGTATGTGTGTGTATCTGTGTTTGTATGTATCTGTGTTTGTATGAATCTGTTTGTGTTTTTATCTGTATGTGTATGTATCTGTATGTGTATGTATCTGTATGTGTATGTATCTGTATGTGTATGTGTATGTATATGTATGTGTATGTATCTGTATGTGTAGGTATCTGTATGTGTATTTATCTGTATGTGTATGTGAATGTATGTGTATGTGTATATATCTGTATGTGTATGTATCTGTATGTGTATGGATCTGTTTGTGTTATTATCTGTATGTGTATGTATCTGTATGTATATGTATTCGTATGTGTAGGTATCTGTATGTGTATGTATTTGTATGTGTATGTATCTGTTTGTGTATGTATTTGTATGTGTATGTGTGTGTATCTGTATGTGTATGTATCTGTTTGTGTATGTATCTGTTTGTGTATGTATTTGTTTGTGTATGTATCTGTTTGTGTATGTATCTGTATGTGTATGTATCTGTATGTGTATGTATCTGTATGTGTATGTATCTGTTTGTGTATGTATCTGTTTGTGTATGTATCTGTTTGTGTATGTATCTGTTTGTGTATGTATCTGTTTGTGTATGTATCTGTTTGTGTTTGCATGTGCATGTGTATGTATCTGTATGTGTATGTATTTGTATGTGTATGTATCTGTATGTGTATGTATCTGTTTTTGTATGTATCTGTTTGTGTAAGTATCTGTTTTTGTATGTATTTGTATGTGTATGTATTTTATGTGTATTTATCTGTTTGTGTATGTATTTGTATGCGTATGTATTTGTATGTGTATTTATCTGTATGTGTATGTATCTGTATGTATATGTATTCGTATGTGTAGGTATCTGTATGTGTATGTATTTGTATGTGTATTTATCTGTTTGTGTATGTATTTGTATGTGTATGTGTATGTATCTGTATGTGTATGTATCTGTTTGTGTATGT